CTACGGATGTGCTCCTGCGGGGGGGGGGGGAGGGGGGGGGATGTACTCATATTTTGCATGCCAAAGTTGTAAGATTATCTAGAGGACAGGGCACTTTTCCCAAAGGACCTACAATATCACCGATGTGTGATGCTGTGATGGCTCTGGCAGGACCAACAAGTCAAAGTTGCCACTTTTGGCATATCCTTCATCGGCTTATATCATTAATCGATTGGAGCCAGCCAGCCAGCCAGCCAGCCAGCCAGCCAGCCAGCCAGCCAGCCAGCCAGCCAGCCAGCCAGCCAGCCAGCCTGCAGCAGCAACAGCAACAACAAGCAGCAGGAACAACGCAAAATAGCAACACCACCAACAACAACAACAACAACAACAACAACAACAACAACAACAACAACAACAACAACAACAACAACAACAACAACAACAACAACAACAACAACACCAACAACAACAACAACAACAACAACAACGTCTATCGCACCTCCTGCGGAGCCCGAGCCACTCCTCACACACCGCCTGCAAGGCGCTCAGGAGGCAAAGGTGTTCGCCGAAACGGAACCCGGCACCGATTCCGCCGCCTCCTCCCTTCTCCATCAGCCCGTGCACAACGGCGAGCCTGGGTGTGCAGCAATGAAGAACACAAAGGAAGGGTTCGATGGTACCACACACTGGTGCTGGACTGATGGGATGGCAAAGTTCTCCCGAGTGTGTTGTCGCTCCGGCTCCTCTTCACAACAACAGCAAGAGCCAACAGCGAACAGTAATGGTACCGGCAACCACGCCTCACACTCAAACCACTCGACGACAACACCAGCAACATCAACAACAGCGCCGACAACTACATAAATACAACCACAGAAACGCCAAACAATTGAATCCATGCGAACAACAACAACATACAACTGCCACCACGACGACAACAACAGCAATAACAGCGGCACCGACACCTACAACCGATTCAACAAAAACAACAACAGCCGACACCACAACACAAACAACAGCAACATCAACATGGCCAACAACAGCAGCAGCATGGCACCTGGCGTCGAGGGGTGTGGCCCCCGGGGCGAGTACGCCTGGTAGCTCCAGCACCTCCAACGCCTTCCCCTTCTTGTCCATGCCCTTCCTGTCTCTGCGACTACCGCCCCCACCGCCATCGCCCACACGCCTTGATGACGAATCCGCCCCCGAGCCGGCAGCGGGAGAAGGACCTGCGGGGGCACTGGAAGAAGAAGACGCCTCCGCCGGTGGTAAAGAATCCGTGGCGGGGCCGCCGCCGCTGCTACCGCTGCTGCTAGACGCCGCAGCTCCAGAACCAGCGGCGCCGCCGCTAGCGCTAGCAAGGGATGCTGCGCTAGCGGCTCTACCGGCGGCGACGCCAGCGGATGCGGACGCGGCAGAGGAGGCGGGCGGGGGCTTCGCAGAATGCGAGGAGCAGGAGCGGGGCGAGAACTCCAACGTGATGGCCTTCCCCCACTGCTCTCGCGGCATTGGCATCGAGCGGTGCGGGAAACGGTCCCTGCGCGCGCGTGTGATTTTGAGCGAGATTTTTGGGGGGTATCCACGAAGCGAAAGATGCATCGATGCCGGCCGACAGAAAGAGGGAGAGTGGCAGCGGCGGCACGGGGGGCGAGGGGGGCGAGACGAAGGGTAAAACACAGGCAGAGGCAGGCAAGCAGCGGCAGACAGGCAGAGGCAGACAAGCAGAGGCCGATATAAGGAGAGGCAGAAAGGCGGAGGCAAAGGCCGAGGCCGAGTTCGAGGCCGAGAGAGAGACAGTCAACGCACACAGCCACAGGAAAACTTAGACAGAGAGAGAACGCGAAGGAGCCAGCCTACACGTCATTGTGCGTGCCCCCCCCCCCCCCCCCCCCCCCCC